CATTGACTTAGATTGAATTATCACATTTCACAATAGGTACATCCTCAAACTTACAATTATGCATATTAAATCTTTCAAGCACACGATCTATATATGTCATTTGAGAAAATTTCAACAATCTACAACTCCTATCTCAATGAATTTGAATGTCTAGCACAAAAGATATTTTTCCAAGATATTTTTACAACAATTGCTTAATCTTATGAAGTAAGCCCAAATCACTACTTATAAGCAAAGTATCATCAACATAGAGAATAAGAAAAATAAATTTACTCCCACTGTCCTTAAGATATATGTATTGATCCATATTATTCTCAACAAATCTAAGAGAACTTATTATCTTATTTTTTGTGGCACCTATCCACATATCAGACTGAAAACAAGTAATAACATCAAGGTATGTTACAGGATCAACAATATTACCAATATCATAATCACTTTCTCTTAGGTATACAAAATATTCATTAGAAATAACAAGTTTTATTGGCCTTGTAGACCTTCTTAAGAAAATTTCAGTAGTAAGCTCTAAAGGCTGAAGAGTCTCAATAGAAAAGAAGGTTTAATTGCAAGAACAGGAAGATCAACAATTAGAGTAGGAAAATTAACAACAGGAGCAGGTATAATATTCTCTTACACAACAGGTAAAGGAATATAAACAAATTTATCTTGCTCATGCACACTAACAGGCTGTGAGCAACCAGTATCTGCAACATCAAGCTCCAGAAATTTTGTTGTTAAGGACTCAACAATTTTAGTACCACATATAGGACAATAGAACCGGTATCTTTTAGAATGTTCTGAGTAACCTATGAAGAAACAACGAGTAGTTTTAGGATCAACTTTTTTTTCAAAAGGGTTATAGATCTTGACTTCAGTAGGACAACCCCAGACTAAAAAATGGTTAAGGCTTGGTTTCCTATTGGTCCATAATTCAAAAGGTATTTTTGGAACATATTTGCTAAGAACTCTATTAAGAATGTATGAAACTGTTTTAATGGCTTTTTCATAAAAATAATCAGGTAAATTATATCTCCTCATCATGCTCCTCATCATGTCTTTTAGAGTGCGATTATGCCTTTCAGCCAAGTCATTCTGCTAGAGACTACCAAGCATAGTATATTGGACAATAATCCCACAATCTTGCAAGTACTTGACAAACGGTCTCAAATGCTGCCCAGATACATCATGTTTGCCACAATACTCACCACCACGGTCAAACCTAACAATTTTGATGACTTTCCCTAATTGTTTTTCTATCTCAGTCTTGAAAATTTTAAACTTTTCAAGAACATTAGATTTTTTATTAATTAAATAAATATATTCATAACGAGAGAAATCATCAATAAATATAATAAAATATTTATTATCACACAATGTACGTGAGTAAGGTCCACTGATGTCAGTGTGAATGATTTTTAAAATATCTAGACTGTGAGTTGCACTTTTCTTCTTAATATTGGTCAATTTACCCTTAATGCAGTCAACACAAGTTTCAAGGTCTCCAAAATCAAGTATTAATTTTTTCATTCTTTCTCTAGAAATATTACCCAATCGTTTATGCCACAGTTGTGAAGATTTTTCTTTAATGAAAGGTCTCTTAGATACAACATTCACAATATTTGAAAAGATCATATTCATTATTGACAGCCAAATATATACTGTACAAACTATTTGATAAAACACAATGACCAACAATTTTGGAATTTAAAGACAATTGAATTTTACCATTACTAAAATTAAAACAATATCCAATTTTATCAAGGAAAGAAACTAAAATCAAATTCTGCCTAAATGATGGTACATAAAAAATATTTTTTAAAACAAGTTGAAAACCAGTGTCTAAATTCAACCTAACAGTTCCTATGAACTCAACATGGACTTCATTATTATTTTCTATTTTAAGCTTGACTTTCACTTTACTTGGCATCTGTTTGTTTGTGAATCCCTGCAAAGTCATGATCACATGAACCAAAACTTCACTATCAATCCATCAAGAATTTAATGAGACATTAACCAAATTGGATTCAAAGCAAACAAAGGCTAGTGAATTACCTTCTTCTTTATTTTTCTTTTTCTAACCAAAACTTGAATCGAGTGCACGCATTTTTTTTATGACCTCTTTTCTTGCAAAAGTAACACTTGACATCTTTAATGACGTTAGGACTTCCCACATTCTGACCAATATCATGCCTTTTAAAATTCCGACAATTCTTTGGAGCATTATGATTAAATTTTCTATTATTTTCCTGATACCGACCTTTGAAACTAGATTTAGGCTGAAAAATAAATAAGATAATTTCACTATTTTCTTTTCTAAGTTTTCCTTCCTCAGAGTCACACTTAGAGATAAGGTCATTTATTGTTCAAGACTCATTTTGGGTATTGTAGTTAGTTTTGATTTGGCTAAACTCAGGATACAAAGAATTACGAGTGTGATGAACAATGAAATCATCAAGAATAACAATTTTGAAGGCTTTGAGTTTGATTTGAACATGGACCATTTTAAGGATATATTTCCTAACACTACCTATATTGTCATATTTCATACTCATTAATTCATTCATTAGGCCCCCAGCTTCAGCGGTGAAAAACTCGTTGACATTCTTAGTTTCAGGCAAGCCACTCATAAGGTGTTCAGAGATAAACCTTTTCATAGCAATCATACTTAGCCTATTAGATTTCTCCCACTTTGCACAAAGTTCTTTTTCATCAGGAAAACTCTCACTAATAGGTTTAACAGGTTTTTCATTCTCTTTCAAGGCAAAGTCTATATCAACAATTCCTAGGGCAAACTCAATATCTTGCTTCCATCTTTTATAATTAGAACCAGTCAAGACTTCAATGTTGTTATTATTACTATTCACAACAAAAGAGACTGTACAAAGCAACGAGAATATAAATAATTAGTAAAATTGGACAATAAATAAATAAAATATGCTTTGAACATAATAAGAAATATTTTATTAAGAGAGTTCAAATACATCACTACAAACTCTCATTTGGGTAAAGAATGTAATATGCTATAGGTCCTCTCTTTTCATGAAACTAACCAATGAGAATGCTCAAGTTTTAAAAAATTTATTTCCTTTGGACATATAAACTTTTTAGACTATTGCACCTCTATTATAATGTTTCATTACATCTCTAAATTACAATACACAACAATCTCTTTTGGGCAGGTAATTGTATATTATAATTTAGAGACAATCCCGTAAAAAAAGCATGAGAAAAAACTGTAAATTTTCATGAATAGACCACTTTGGTGGTAATCATCCATCTTCACTCATTGAATTTTCTAAACCGGGGTATTATAATAAATTGTCCATAATTAAATATCATGTGATCAATTAATATGAGGTACTAAACAATATGTATCTCTCTAAATCACTTATCATTAATCGTTGCATTCAAGTCTCAATTCTATTTTTACTTTTAAAATGAAGTAATTTAAATTCAAATCTACCAGCATTAATAAATAATATGTAGATCACAATTTTTTTTTTTATCATATAAATCACAAAGGGCTAAAATTAGAATTGTACAAACACCCTCTACAAATTATAACAATTCAATCAAAATTACATCAACATGAAATAATAATTTGTATGGGTAAAATTTATATATATTCATTAACATGACCCCATGTTATTAACACGAGTCATCCACAAGAAGCGAATCATAAAAAAATTTAACATATAAAAAAATTTAACATATAAAAGTTGACTTTGATGCCAAGGTCTCAAATTTAATTTAACCAAAAAAAAACAGTAGCAGTCATTATGCCATTTTTTTTTTTGACCGCCTTAATGATACAAGGCCCAGGTTAGTTTTTTTTTTTCCTTCTTCTTGTGATTTAGCTGCCATCTAAGAGTCTTTTAACCCTCTATTTATTTTATTTTATTTTTTCTACTTCTTCGTGTGACCAACTGGCCACCCATCCTTGATAATTTCTGATTTTTTTTTTCCCTTCTTTTCTATGACGTACAGGCCACCAAACCTTGTGATGTTTTCATGCTTTATTATTATTATTTTTTTTTATTTTTCTTGGCCGCCTCACGTAGTAGCCTTGGATTACAAAGACCAAGTTTAATAATTTTTTTTTTTTTGTAGTGACGTACAGAAAACAGTAGCCTTCATGATGCTACTTTTTTTTTTTTTTTTTTGAATGTCATATATACATTATATAGATATATGTACCATAACTTTTAATCAACAAGGCTATGAACAGTGACACAAAAAATTGAACGCTAAATCCGATGAAAGTAAACAGTTTAATTAGACATGAATTTTATCAGGTTTTTAATTCATATACGATAGACTTTGATACCACACGTAAGAAATTTTAATGATTCGTATATGAAATTTATAACACTTAAATTACAAGGTTTAGAACATACTTGTATGAGCCATGATACTCGATATCCGAATTTCTTTCTTGAAAGGGCAAAGTCTTCCTCTCATTCTTCAAAGCAATATGCGACTTTCAATGGGATAAACCAAATTAGGGTTATCAAGTGGAGAGGGGACCTAGTCTGCTATTTATAATGAAATCTAATGGGCTCTCCCATTACGGGCCACAATTAGATTAAGACCTACACTTAACTACCTCAACCACATCAATTAAAAGGTGTACATAAGCCCATCAAAATAGATCACTTAATAATATTTGGCTCATCTCATTGGATCATAAATTCAACCTGTTTTTCACAAACTAAATTAATGGTAGTCCAATATAGAAAAAATTCCAACAGGCATGTCATTTAACAGTTTTATTAAATGACATGACAGCTGATTTGGAAGGTTGATTAGGCTGCCATGTCATTTGACTCTTTATTTGGTCCCTAATTTTGTACATTACTGTAAAACAAAACGGTGATTGTGAGATTGGAGATAGACCCAACAGCAGACCCAAGAAGTTTGGGTCATAACGTAGTCCAGTTCACTGAATTGTCTAGCCCAGCGCATGCTTAACTTGGACTATAATAAGTGGGCTTGAGCATATGCTGGGCCTAGATAGAGGTACACGTATTGTCATGTAATATCTGGGCCCTCTATCTATATGGGCTGAACTAATACCTTATTGGGGATTGGGCGAAGCCTCATAGTTTGGATCAGTAGTTAAGCCACATTTGCTGACGGACCCGAAACCGTGGAATTATCGAAACCGCCGCCGCCGCCGCCGTTGTCTCCGTCCCTTTTCAACCGTCTAATCCACCTCGACACTGCTGTCTCTCTCCATCTCTACACTCTGACGCAACCCATCCTTCCTTACTACCTCCTCAAAACTCTGGAACTCTCCGGCGATGGGCGCTTCTTCTTCCCCTTGACACTCTCCGTCCTTCTCTCTCCTCTCTCCACCACCCATTCCACCTTCCTCCTCAACCTTCTTCTGGGCCTTATCTTAGATCTCCTCCTAATCGGCCTCCTCAAACACCTCATCCGCCGCCTCCGCCCCGTCTACAACAAAAACATCTTCCATACTTTCTCAGTCGATCACTGGTCCTTCCCCAGTGGCCACTCCTCTAGAGTTTTCTTCATTGCCACTTTCATATTCTTCTATTCGAAATTCATCGAAGAAGTTTTGATTCAATTGAGGGTTGATCAGGGTGATGGGTATTTTTCTAATGGATGGATGAGCACAAGATGGTTACTTTGCGATGATGAGGTTAAAATGGCGAATTATGTTCTTTCAATTTCGGGGTTTTGGGCTGCTTCAACGTCGGTTTCTAGGGTTCTTCTGGGGCGTGTTTAGGTGTTGTTCAAGCCATCTTTGTGTTTCGAGTTCTGAATTATGAGAACTTGAGATCGGTTTTGTGGTGATGAACTGTGAGTATCTCTGGCGATTTTATTTATTTATTTATTTATTGGTGGTTCTTGTTATAATATATTGATTTTTCAGCGGAATTGTTGACATTATTGGAGAAATACTGTATAATGCCCTTTCAATTATCACCCACTTTACAGTTTCATTTGTTCCAAGATGTTGATTTTTCAGGGGAATTTTTGACGTTATCAGAGAAATACTGTATAATGCACTTTCTATGATAGCACTTCACAATTTTCATTTGGCACCTTGTAATTTTTGTTGGGCTTCATTAAGTTCCATAAGCTGTCAATTTTTTGTTGATTGATTCAAATAATGAATGGTTTATCTGGATCGAATTTTGGGAGTGAAACTAGATTATGGTCTATTGTGAATACGATAGACTGTTTACTTTTAAGATGGCTTTATCTTTTGATGGATTATTATCAATCCACTAGTCAGCTACATTTGCATATAGAATTGGTACCGACATATGTAATTCGTTTTCTCACATCAAAAACTTAAAACTTCCTTAATGTCGACCCTTAGGTGCTTCCCTTGAGTTTAAGGAAAGCCTTATGGAATTAGTCTCTTGTCCCTAAGAAATTTTTGGTAATCAAAATAGGGAAACTGTGTAGATAATTGGATAAACTTGTGTACAACAATAGAATCAGATGAGCTACACCACATGGTCTTGGCTGTTTATCTTTTTCACTGGAGTTGGGATTTCTGCACAATTTGATGATTGCAGAGTGGGTGATGAACATGGATGCCATTTCATTTTATCTCGAGATGATTATTAAGGACAACTAAACGTTTTTGTTCATGGAAATATGGTTTCTTGTGATTGGCTTTTTGGTGTATTTGGGTTCCTTTTCCCCTTGCGCTTTTTTGGTAGGACAAAAATACTCGGTGGCCTTTCATCTTCCCAATAGCCCCTAAGTTTGGTGCTGCAAATACTTGCTTGATTGACTCCCATTATGGTAGCAGCTTTCTATAGAACCTAAAGGCTCTGTTTGATGGACTCCCACTATGGGATGCTGGTTAGATTGGACCTGGTGCATATTTTTGACACTTTTCATTGAATTTTTGAAATGAAAATTCGGAAAAGCCAAAATTAAAGAGCCCAATAATTTCTAGAACATGTGCCTTAACCAATCAATAGTAAGTGTTCCAAATATGGCGTCATGTGTTTGATTGTTGTGTTCAATTTGACTAAGTGAAAATAGTTCATTTGGTTAGTTTGACAATGATTGGTATTATTTTCGAGCATCTCTATTCATTCTGAGGAACATGAACAGAGATTATTTGTATGAGAAGCATGAAGTGCACCAATTGAATTGACGTGTGGGGTGGGTATCTAGTGGCTTCGAGGGGACCAAAAGTATCTTAAATATGTGTTTGATTGTTTGATCAAAGTGGAGCTGAAACTCTCGTAGTTGTGTGTCCTACGACAGATCATATCATTATCCTTTCCACGGCTATTCTAATGTTTGCTATTAAGCAAACAAAGAAATGCATGCCCATTGTTGAAGTTCTGTACAGGATTTTTGTTGCATTTTTTATTGCTGTCACGTTTTTGCAGAACCTTAGGTGGTCCTGTCCTAATTCCAGTTAATTGCAACATTATTGATAGGCTACAAGCACTAGCCCATGGGTCATACCAAGGACATTAACCATTGATTTGTGGTCTTTTCCTTAAGGCTGTCTATATTGTGTCTTTATGGTTGGTCCCCTAATCAAATTGACTGTAGATGACACTGCTGTCTTAATGTAGCTTTCATTTTGCTGTGAAATGATGGTGGAGTTAGTCAAATGGTAGGACACTCTACATTAGTGCCTTTCTTTACGACTTCTAGAGCCTTGCAGCAGACTAACTCAAACCGAATCAACCATGGGTTGGGGCTGGTTTGAACTCTGTTTACTTCATCTGTGGACTGTGGTCGGGCCGCTATCAGGTACATATCGTGGAGGGAGACGAGCCAAAGATGACCTGTGTGACAAGTAACCAACCTTGCTAATAAAAGGGCCTTTGAGAATTTGGTTTGTCATTCTCACACTATTCCTTTTCAATAAAAATAGCATTTGAGAATCTCGAGAACTTAAATAAAAATGCACAAGTGAGCATACCCCAAGGCTCTTCTCTCTCCTTTTTTAAGCNTAGTTGGATCTGTGGTCGGGCCGCTATCAGGTACATATCGTGGAGGGAGACGAGCCAAAGATGACCTGTGTGACAAGTAACCAACCTTGCTAATAAAAGGGCCTTTGAGAATTTGGTTTGTCATTCTCACACTATTCCTTTTCAATAAAAATAGCATTTGAGAATCTCGAGAACTTAAATAAAAATGCACAAGTGAGCATACCCCAAGGCTCTTCTCTCTCCTTTTTTAAGCCAACACAAATTTTCACTTTGAATTAGTTAAAGCCAAAAATTTGATGAACAGAAGGAACGGAGATCAAAAAGATACAGCGTGACTTTGCTATTTTATAGGTCGTGAGTACTGAGCAGATGACGAGGCCATGAACGAAGTGGTAGTCAATCAACTTTTATGTGCTTAGAACAGGAACGGAACACAGGATTGGCTGCAATATGCGTGGCGCTAGCATTATCGCAGTGCATGATAAATTGATAGCGAAATGACACCGGTGGACAGGGTGGCTCGATAACATTTAGGAATTAAAGCAAAGACGGTGAATGAGATTTATTTATTTATTTAATAATAATTTAATTTTTTTAATTTAAAATTTATTATTTTTATTTTTTGATGAGATTTGAAATTGTTAATTATTTTTAATTCAAAATTTGCTAATATATTTTTTTGATTAATAATATGATTTTTGATCATAAATATTTATAGGAATAAAACTAATTTCTTCATTAATATTTAATAAATATTTATATGTTCTTAATCAAAACTGTGGTATTAAATGATTGATTTTATTATAAATAAATTCATTGTTATATTTTTTTTGGATTGTTTTACTATCTTTGAATTTTACTTATTTATTTATGTAACTTTCATCTAAATTTTTGTTACATTTTATTTATTATAAATAAGAACTTTATCAAAATATTTTCTTAATGAGAATAAATGGTTTAATTGGTGTTTTGTGTTCAAATGAGGAAAAAAAAAAAACAAGTTTAAGAGAAGTAGAAAATGTGTTTGGTTTGGTTTTTTTTTTTGACTAAAGAGAGTTACTTATTATATTTTTTTTGATTGGAAAAAGAGATGAATTTTGTCAGCACTTTTTTTTTGTTAATCTTTTTTTATCCTTTAATAAATGTGATTGTGTGAGGTGATCTAGACTTTTGGGCCCAAATTTTTAATTTTTTTGATTTTGGTTTACTCTTTCAAAAATAATTTTGTTAGACTATATTGTAATAAATTTAATTTTTTAACTTATATTATATTATTGATCTTTAAGTTTGAGGCATTTTTTCATATGTGGGGCCTAATGCCCACGCTTTTATTTAGAGCCGACCTGCCGCTAGATCGCGTAGCAAATAAGAAAGCCATAAACGTTGTAGAATGAAAAAATCATCATCTCCCAATCGTTTTTTGAGATACTAGTATATGCTGAAGAAGTAAACTAGGAAATAACATGAATTCCCATGCCTTTTCCCTTTGTCTATAATATATATATATGTGTGTGTGTGTGTGTGTGTGTGTGAACTTATTATTGAGTACAGTTTTTCCAACTTTTGGTGGTGGTTTCTTTCTCCCCTGCATGAGACTACTTGTGGTTGGCTCTCATTATCCTTGAAAAAGAACCTTTCAAATCATATAATTGTAAACTCTTGTAGGGTCCTCACTCGAAAACCCGAGAACCAAACACCTTGAAAACAGAGATGCATCTCTTTCGTTTTGCTGCAATTTTTATTATCTCTCAATCCTTGGATGATTACAGCAGAGATAATGTAGAGGCATTGTAATGGCTATTTGGTCCCCAGACTAGTTGGTAAAGTCGAGATCCAAATATAGATAAATGTTTAGATCTACCCATTTTAAAGTCATTACTATTTGTGACTGCATGCCATAATTTGGTTCTGCAGTCATGCTAGCTTGAGCTTGGATTGTATAGCAACTGATCTGTAGAATTACAGTCTTGGTCAAACCTTATGNTCCTGCAGTCAAGCTGCTAGCTTGAGCTTGGATTGTATAGCAACTGATCTGTAGAATTACAGTCTTGGTCNTTCTGCAGTCATGCTAGCTTGAGCTTGGATTGTATAGCAACTGATCTGTAGAATTACAGTCTTGGTCAAACCTTATGATTATAGGCTGCCAAGTGAGATGGATGATACTGAGCTAGTGAGGGCAACACAGAGTGTGGTGCAAAAATTGGAGGGTACAACGGGGTTGTGCAAACTTAAAATTTTGGCTTGTTGCGGCTCTTTTTGCCTATGCTTAGGTAAAAATAAATTATTTTTTAGTTTGGTAACAAAATTTATAAATTTTTAGGTTATTATATCTTCTTGGGTCAAGTTATAAGAAAATGGATATCACATGTTTGTCCGTTTNTTTAAAGATTGATCCTGACTTTTTTTTAATTGCAAGTTATAAGAAAATGGATATCACATGTTTGTCCGTTTAAATAAAATTAATGTAATAATAAATTAATAATTATTTTAAAAAATTAGCAAGAAAAAAAAGAAGTAAATAAATCAATAATATAAAAAGAAGTAGAGCAGTAGTTCAAAGACGTATGAGAGAAGATGAATAGCACTTCAAAGACAAAGACAAATAAATGCTTTTTATTTTTATCCTACATTAAAAAATGAGGGAAGATAGGGAGGGTCGAGTTGCTCATAAAAGGCAATGACCTCTTTGCTTATTTTTTTTAAGTCTTTAAGTCTTATTTTTATGATATTTGACTCAAAATTTATTTATTTTGAGGTAAGTGCAATTGACAGTAAAAAAAAGTAGAGTATTAAAATTTGTTAATATAAT